TATATGATCTTGGATACACTCTCCATTTAGACATACCTAATTGTTTAGCTTGTTCACCCATCTATCCGTCCCTATACCCATGGGCAGAAACATTCTTTAGCATAGTATTCATACTTTGTTGTTGTTGTTGAGGTTGTTTTATTTAACCAAACCAAAACCCATTGCAAACAAGTTGATTCCAACTCACAGCGACCCTATAGGACAGAGTAGAACTGCTTTACGGGGTTTCCAAGGCTATAGATCTTTATGGAAGCAGATCACCTCATCTTTCTCCTATGAAGTGGCTAAGGGGCCTGAACCACTGATATTTTGGTTAGTAGCCAAATGCTTTAACCACTACACCACCAGAATTTCTGCCTTACTTAAGGCAATCATGAAAAATAAAGAATTATGTAAGAGAAATGTTTTACTTGTAATATTTTAAAAACTGTGAATGTTTTACCTAATTGCTTTTTTAGAGCTGGCAATTTATTCTAAATGGCAATTTAAGAGACATAATGAACTCATTGTAAATTTTCCCCTGCACATTACTCACACAATGGTTCCCTTTTAAGAAAACATAACAGTTCCAACTGAAGTGGTTTCAGAGCTTCTCAGACACCAATGACATCATGGAAAAAAATGAAATTACTCTTTAAGAGCTTCCTGGATGCAAATATCCTTGTCAAGGTACCCTAGAGGAGATAGGCTTCTAGAAACTAGCACAGAAGCCACAATTATATTACTAAAATATAAATTCTCCAATCCTAAAACTTCATTCGGGAGCTATGGGCACATGACTAAGGCACTTGAGCCTAAGGCACTTGACTGCTAACCAGAAGGCTGGCGGTTCAAACCCACCAGCCACTCTTCGGAAGGAAGATGGATCAATCTACTTCCGTAGTGATACTGCCTCGGAAACCCAAGGAGGGGTCGCTATGAGTCGGGTGCGACTCGACGGCACATAACAACAACAACAATACTTCACTCACTTCAAAGAGCAAACTGAGAAATATTTTGGATTTCTGAGCTTTGTTCCTTTTATTTGATAAAAACAGACAAAACACAACATGAAGAATACACTAACTCACTGAGGCAGGTATATACTATGTTACTTTGAGAATGTTTTTCTCATTTAAGTTAAATTCTTAGAGAAATTTTAACAATTTACTTGGCATGTTGACATTTAAAATATACACACATAAAATATTTGCTGACAAGTTAAAAAATATACCATAGAATCTTTGTAACATAAATCACATGTCAGGTAAATGTCTACCCACTGAATATTTTTAAAAATATATTTGTTTAAAATATATCTGTTTAGCTTTTGTTTTTGAAAAGAACATGTATGTGGTGTAGTAAATTACTTAGTGTGGCTTTTCTACGCATAAGTCTTTGTAAACTCCAAGGTGGGATTTTCTATGGGCAACTGAGGAACTCCTGATTGCTGAAGTTGTCCACCTGGAGTATTTCTGTTGGGAGTGGCACAAAACAATGTTCTGGGAGGTGCCCACTCTCTCTCAAGTGCTTAGAGTTCTGATGTTATGATTGGCTAGTTTGA